ATTTATATAGTACTCTGTGAACACAAATTAGTTAGCATAAATCAGTTAAATGGACGAAAAAATTAGGTGTCTATTTACTTGTGACCACTCAATGTACTGAGTGCATGCTATATGAGTATGTTGTTTATTTAATATATGTTACCTAATAAGTTTCTAATTTTTACATCTTAACTACTTTTATAACAATGAATAAAAAATATGCATAAAAAACAAATTTAATACTAATATCTGAAATTTTGCTTTTCTCAAGCTTTTGTACTCGTACAATAGAGTATACATTAAATTCTAAGCCTAAATCTTAATAACGATAGTTCTTTTTTTTTAATTCTAATATGTAATTTAGAACACAAAATATTGCCACTAAGATAAAATAGAATGTCCTCAAACTAACATATATCTGGATTTCTGTCTGAGCTAGAAATTTATGAAATAATTCACATATCTGGCCAAGTAGAATTCTAGTCAGGCAAATAAATACAACAGTGGCAAAATGTTCAAAACTCTTTCTTCCAGTGGCTTTAGGCTTGAGTGCATTCAATAAATTGAAATATCATTCTGTTGGTTTCAAATAATCCTATAGAAAATATCAGAGAGAATTATTGATATTTTTGAAAGTATGATTTACTAGGAGGAGCATGGCATGTGGCCTTCACTTTGTTGCTCATATTTCTGTAAAGCAAAAACGTTTAGAGGCTATAGTTAATTAATTTAGCAGAGGAATATTTAATGTATAAGTGTGTATATCTCTGGAAACTTAAGAATCTAAAATGGGCAGTTCAGAGTGAAGAACTGTCAAATGATACAGATGTTCTAAGATTGAAATTTATATAAGTACCTTTTCTTGAAACTAAGAAATTGGAACTTATATTAACATTTGAATTATAAACTACACTTTGATTCCAAGTTCACTGATATACATTGATAATAAAGTTGTCTGATTAAGTTTTTAATGTAACTGAGAAAAGGCTGTGATGTACTTTGATGAGAGGGTTTAATTGATATTTATTGATAACAGAAACAAATAGGCCTTTCAACATAAAAACAAAGGTTACATTTAGCCAACTGTTAGAAAAGATTGAATGACATTGGAGAAAACAATGTAAACTAATGTAATACAGAATGAAAATTATATAATACATGGGTTTTATATAAAAAAAATGGTAATATTCACAACAGATGTTTTCAAAGGTGCATTCAAAGTAAGCAAAAATTAAAAGAAGAGATACAGTCAAAGTTCCACATGTGTCTTTTCACAAACGATTGCATAAAACCAATGAAAAATTTACATTTATAAATAAATAATCAATCTATATTCTTTATCAACAGATTTAATGAAATTGTAAGTTTGTTTTCTTAGTTTTTATCTTCATCTCTGATGTGCTGAATTTGGTAGATTTTTGTTATGGTGATGAATAACTTTCTGGTAAAGAGGTAATCCTTAAGTTTTTAGAAAAGTTGGAAATTACTGGTCTAGTATTTCACTGTTTTTTGCTGTAATTAAAAGTGAGTAAAACTAATTAGTCAGTTTCAGTAATTCCTTTTTGTGTGTAGCTATGTTAAGGACTTAGCCAGCCAACTATCAGAAATGGCTGTTTATGAGAAATGTCAGTCATGTGAATGACAGATTAAAATTTTTCAAAAGCTGTACCTTATTGGTTTTGTTTCATTCGTGTTTCTTGCCTTGTTTGCAAAGCAGTGACTTGGACTGCAATCTTTAAGTTAGTGCAGTTTTTCCAGCAGCACCTGGATACAGAGGGTTGAGTACATTATAATAAAATGATCTTTCCATATGCAAGTTAGCAAATCATGTGACAACCACAGTGAATGAAATGTATCAGAACTACATTTTTACATTGATGTTTTGTAGGTAGTGTAATCCCATCGGAAATTAATCACTTTTGGGAAGGTTCTGTAGCAACTTTTTCTGACATTCAAGCATACAGATCATAAAGATGTGTTCAGGTCTGGGATTTATAATTTTGAAGATGGGGTTATCCCTTGTACTAAATGGTATTTGAAGACAAGGGGAGGGGTGTGTGTGTAAAAGTGTAGTTTTTATACTTTAAAATTATGACAATTTTGGATGACCCCTAAATTATTTTCAGAATTTTAGTTTCTCCACAACTATTTTTAGCAATTTTAAGTCTTATTTTCATCTGTTTGAATCTAATTGTTGCTGTTAGATTATTTTGTTTCCATTAATGCAGTCTATAAAGGTTAATATTTATATCTTTATTTTATATGTATATATAATATTAAAGATTTGAGTTGGAATTTTGCTGAAACAAAAGATATTTCTCTAAACTTAATTTTTTTTCTCTAAATAAATTGGTGAGTCAAACAAATCTTACATATAGTAATGTATTGACAAATTGGTAGTAGTATTACTCTGTTGAGTCCCTGTAGTACAGTTGAGTATTTATCTGTGGGAAATAGATCCAAAATGACATGAGTGGTTAGATCTTTTTGATTTTTTTCTACAAGTATAATGCTGTATGTTCTCTCTCGTCTCTTTGTTTACTTTAATACATAGTTAAAATGTTATCAGAAATACTCTTTATATATGAGTAACATTACCAAGAAAGATTTTACTGTAGCTTCTGTGTGTGTATATTACAGGCTGTGAATGCCAAGATAGTTCAGGAAGTGTGCACCAAGTATATATATGATAGATGTCCTGCAGTGGCAGCAGTGGGTGAGTCTTGACTGTATATGTAAACCATCTGTTTAGTGTAGCTTGATGTTTGTTAATACCGACCATTATCAGCAGTGGCATAACAACTGCTTTTTAGGGACATGGTTCAGAACACTAATATGGTATTTTGTATTGTGCAGTACTAGCATAGCATAACAAAAATGTTAATTACCTTGGGGTCCCATATCATTGAACCACTCATTGTTATGCTACTGATTATCAGAATTAGGTTAAGAAAACAGAATTAAATGGGTATTGTTCATGAGTAGGATTAGTTGTCTCCTTCATAGCAATTGTTATTTATAATGTTATATTTTATTCTCTTGTAGAGTGTTTTTGCTCAGATCATTCTGTGTTTGTTATGTTAATAATAAACTTTAACAGTAATCCAAATTTCAAAGAAACATTTTCCAAACTTTCATATTTAGTTTGTACAGTCCTTAAGTCTATGCTGAAGATAATTTTTCCCAAAATCAAGGTATAATTGTTGCCATAATTAAATATATTCACTGTTCCATGAAATTTGGTTAATAAGGTAAAGCTCTTGTTTAGGATAGTCAGATTATTCAAAGATAAATACTTAATTTACAAACTGTTTAAGTGTTATAAAAATTATACTATTTTACACTTGTGCAGGTTTTATTCATTAAGTGTTAACTTCAGTGAGATGAGGTAAGAATTGATATAATAATATCGTAAATCTTCACTGAAGTTAATGATCATTCGTTTGAACTTTGAAGAAAGTTCATCAGTATACTTTAGATCTAATAATTTTAAACTTCTCTAAGTTTACAAGCTGCAACAAAAGTTTCTGTATCTGTAAATGATGATACATGACTTCTAAATACTACCAGGAGTTTTTATCAGGGCTAACACAATTCTTATATGTTTTAGGTCCAGTTGAAGGCCTTCCAGATTACAACAGGATTCGGAGCAGCATGTATTGGTTGCGACTTTGAGCTCTGCTGATAATTAGTGGTAGTGATGTAAATTAAATTTAAAACACTGAAAATAAGTCTTGTAACAATGCCCTTTTAATTACTTCACATCAGCCTTAAGTGATCATTAAGGTATATTTTAGGTTAATTTTTTACACATTTATGGAAGAAAATAAAAGAACAGGATATTGTGGGGTATTGATATGGAACTAAAATTAGACAGTAATAGGCAATTTGAGTTTATTTATATCATGTCATTCTGTAACTGCTTTAGAATTAAAAGTTATTCCACAGTACTTGTTTATGGAAAATTTACTTGTGTTTAATGAGACTACTCAGTTTATGTACTTGGAAAAATTATGATTTGCAATTATAAATTTGTAAATTATCCATTTGTAGCAAGTGTATTTTAGGAATACTGTTCTCAGGATATCCTCAAAACAATATTACACAAGAGTTCTCCAACATGGATGCTCTATGAGATAAAAAAGATGATAAAGTCTCTAAAACCACAGACTTGAAAATGATCCATAAAAATATATTGAAATGTTGTTTCCAACAAAGACAGTTAAAATCTGTCACCAAATCCACCCAAATAGGTCCTGCTCCTGGTGACAATCCTGATGCTGATGATGGCACTAGTGAAATCCTGTCTACTAATAGTATGTTTTCAAGACTTGAAACTCCTCCCCCTAGTTATCATCCCACACTATCTGAATTCCTGGACAAATTCCCCAAGGTCAAAACAATCATCAGTTTTTAAACAGTTTTATTATACCACCTAAGCTGCTTCCCATTATAAATTTCTTTGAATTTATATTGTGTTTCTCTTAATGCCATTTGTCTTTTCTCCCAGCTGTTTATTTCAACATTTTCTATAACTGTTTGCTTCAAATTTTTGCTGTTTCTTATATGTTCTTTTATTTTCTGCAACTCAATTAAAAATTGCTGATAGAACTAAATATTTTCATCTATTAGAAGCAAGGCAAAGAGAAACTAATGTTTTTGATTACCACTAGTTTTATGTCTAATTACCTGCCATGACTTCATCTAGTTTTGAATAAAGAAATCTTCCAGCAGGTTTTTCATTATAAATTCATTTTACCAACTGATCCATTTTCTTTGATCTTCACAGAAAGATTTTGGGGTATTTTTAACACATGCTCACAAACATATGTCAGCCACTTTTTATATACTTACTACTACATTTTTTCATCATTAGGTATGCAATGGGTCAAAATAATATAGGTTGCTATTTGTTCTACCATAGGGAGGGGTGACATCCTTCTTTTGTGAGATGGTTACTAGTCTAGATGAACAGCAGATTCATGAAATGTTTCAAAGATAATGAATCAGACAGCAAAGAAAAAGACTCCAACACTCATGTAAGCAAGAAAGAATAGTCTTTATTCCTTACGCATGTGATAGTTTTTATTGTTAAAAAGTGCCTTACTAGCAAGTGCTAATGGGATAACTCTGGTTTAGTTGGAAGAGCACTCACCTTGTATACGAAAGAGATGATTCAATTCTGAGCTGAAGAAATAATAAAAGTATTAAATTATCACAGAAAAATTGATGGTGCCCAACATGCATCCATCCCATGACCCTGAAATTAAGGCCCAAGAATGTGGACCTTGTTTGTGAGAGGAAGAGAATATGGTAAAGTGAGTTGTTAAAAGTGTCTTACTAGCAAGTGCTCATTTGATAGAACATTCACCTGGTGTGTGAGAATCCGTGATGAGGAAATTAAAAAAGAAGTTACCACATACACAAACACTGAAGATACTGGGGTCTCACTTTACACTAATGACTTGACTCCAAGTACTTAGACCAACTGGTGTAATTACTGGAGATGGTAAGAACAATAACTTCACTCCATAAAGGACAGGATAATTGTGTTCTTTCTGGACTATATGCAGCATGATTATGAATATACTACACTGTTAAGTTCAGGAGTGGTATCCCACAATTTTTAATTATATTTACACTACCCATATGCAAGAAAAGATGAATTCCCATTTTATAATAACTTGTATGAACTCTGTACCACCCTGTAATTTGAGTAAAACCTGCACACCAGGAGAGCTATGTCACAGAAGCATGTTTTGTTTCTGATTATATAGCAGTTTTTCAACTGCTTGAATATCTTCATCAGCATACTAATAAGTGATAAATTTATAACCTTGACCCAGGGCCAGTGCTGGGTACCTGCAGGCCCTGCCCCCACAGGGAGCCTTAAGGCATTAAATTTAAGTGGCGAAAATTTATTATTTAATTTATTAGTGATCAAAGGTCAATTAATATATAAACCTGTACTGGTATACAAGACTTATGTACAGCAGTAGATGGTGCCTTCCTAGAAACTCAACAAATACTGGTGTCAAGTGATCTGTAACTTACACAGTGCAATTGTTCTGAATTTAAAATAACAGAGTGTTATACTTTGATGAGGGTGAAAAACAGAGTTTAACAGGGTAAACCAATGGGAGGATTAGATCTGTACTTAAACAAAAAAAACGAGTAAAGTAACTATAACAGTGAAAGTAGTAACCACTTGTTCTTATGTAGATAAGAGGATACAGCCTTGTATAATATTCATCCACAAAAAAATCAGCCAAAGAAAAATAATCTTTAAAATTTCCTGATTAAATCTTTCACATTTCTTAAAAATAAGAACATACCACTCTACGTCCAGATAAAACTGAATGTAAGCTTGAGCTATCAGTTAAGTCTGCTAAATAACTGGGGATTTGATCAGGATATCTATTATAGAGTATTACTGAAACTTACTTAAGTGAGTTAATGTTAGATGGAACAATGAAACTGGACACAAGTGTAAAAAAATACAAAAAAACACAATCTTTATTAATATGTGCATCACCAACACTGTGTGTGTACTTGTGATTTACTTAAATCAGAATGTCGCTTCAACTAGGTGTTCTCATCTACCAGACTGTCAAATCCAAGATTTTTCGGACTTAAAGAAACCTAGTGTGTCATGTACTACCATGTAGCACTGGTTATTCTCAGCAAAATAGGTGGGGTAGTAACCTTTAGATATCTGTACAACCATTGAAGGGTAATGTTGACATCCTTACACAATGTCGCATTAGTCAATGTTCTTCACTGACAATAACAAAGATAACTTGAAACAAGATCAATTTAATGGTTATCTCAACCACGTGCTATGTGAAACCTGCACATATTCAGAACATAAATTCATGATTAATATTATAGTACTTCAATAAGATAGAAAACATTTAATATTGATATACAACAGATCTATTACACAAATTATTGTTCAAAATATTATATAACTATCTATCTATTTTAAAATGTTTAAATTTTTTCTAGTTTTGTATATTAACATTTACACTGTAGGTTTTGAAATCTATGTAAAAATATAAGGCGTGGTATATAAGACATAAATCCTTATGAAAATCACTATTTCACTATTATCACAAATGCACGAGTGTGTGATATGCAGGGGTATCGTATGTTTTCTACTTTAGTGACATAGAAATTTTGTAAAATTTTTGTTTATTTAGTTTCTATGCAGTGTTAGCATAAGCACGTGGTTCAGAAAGTTGATTACGCTGTTCGAGTTTTTGGTTCTATATAATAGATAATGTATGTTCAGTCTCGGAGGATACCGCGGTGTCATATAGCATCTCGGTTGAAAGGATTAACGGTTGTAATATCTTTGCTGGTCCAATCAACACTATCTGTATGTTAGAGTCGACCAATGATAAAGTCACCAGTTGGTGTTGTCAACTGGACAAAGAAACTGAGTTTAGGGCTCTTAGTTCAGGGTTATTTCTGGAGTTCTTCGAATACAAACAGACGTTAAGGTCACTGTGATTAGTTTGGCAGAAGTCCTGAGAGAAAAAAAAAAAAAAGCTGTGGATCTATATAATCACTATCCAGTAGAAATGACTGTCTTTTTGTCTGTTTTGTAATAAAGGTTGTGTTCATTATGTCAAAGTTGTCCAGTTTCATTATTTTACACACATTAATAAAAACTCAGTCAAGTTATCAAACACAGATTACTCTCCTTACTCACTTAACGAATCTGTTGTTATTAATAGGCATAACTATTTGATACATATCGGGAAATCAGTTCCACCTGAAAATAACACAAGAGCAGCCATATTATCGCTTCCATTCCATGTATCGTTTCAGTTTAGGAAAGATAAAAATCTAAATGTCCCGGGAAACATTAAAGCACGTAGCAACAGTCTATTCATCCTGGGTTTCACCGTGACCAACAGGTAATACCGTAACTTCCACGTTTTTATTTGGATATTTATCTGATGTTACTTATGCAGTATTTCCCAGGTGGCTTAGCTGTAGGCTTATAATGCTAAAAATCGGTTATCGATAATACTTACTATCGTTATAGCACAGCCCTTTGTGTAGTTTTATCTTTAACAGCAAACGTGCAGTACTTGCTTAAATAAGCTTTATTTTACTCTTTGTAGCGCTTGTCTAATTAGAAAAAAGTAAAAATTTGATTAGTCTACTATGTGTTAAACTTGTTTTAAAAAGTACAGATGAAAAAACAAAATTAGAAGTGCATTTGCTTTAAAACAATTCAGTTTTTAAAAATTTTCTTCACCACTTTTATCTGTACATTTTCCTTTGTTGTAAATAGTATTTAATATGGTTAAATCGAATAACATCCGCGTTATGGATAACTTGTATGCTACTTCATCTATGGTCCCGACCAGTACGTTTTATACGGGTTTGCATGTATATATTTGTATGCATGTTTATATATTCATGTATATTTGTGTGTGTATACATGTATTTATACACGTACAAACATATATATATATATATTAGTTTCTATGCGTGTGTGATTTATATATATTTTAGGGGGCCCCCATTTTAAATTTTTGCAGGAGCACACAAAATTGTTTGAGCCGGTCTATGAACTTTGTACCTACGGGGTTACAGAATTTCCTGTTAGTCATTGGGGAAATCCCGAAGTCACGTGATTGCGGCTACAACTGATAATTTCAATGGTTATCATTTCTACCGGACCAAAGATTTTTACAATGTTGGCATTTTAGAATATATTTAAAAAATTTTAAACATTAAAAAAATGTATTTCTCCAATCGAATGTAAAAGGTATGTACATACTTAAATGTATATTTATGCCAGAAATCCTAAAATTATATTAATAATATGCTGTTCAGCCTT